GCTATACAAGAGGTTAGAAAAGGGAGCCTTGTAGCTGGGCATATGACCACCAGGAACAAAATACGGTGATTGTTCAAAATGAGAATCAATATTGGGGTGGGAAGATAACTATCTCTGTCACAATAGATAACATCAATTTTCTTCCTAGTGCTTACAGAATTTGTTTTTGAAATTCATAAAAATTTCTGGGTCATATCCAAGAGGATCTTTTTTCATTAATTTCACCTTGAATTCTTTTGATTTGCAGATCAAGGTCTTCCCCCCACACACACACACACACACACACACAGTTTAAGTAGGTTTCTTTATTTACACTATAAGTATTGCTTCTGCCATAACAAAGTAGCTCAGACTGGGTGGTTGAAACAAACAAATTTATTTTCTCCCAGTTCTGAAGGCTAGAGGTACAAGGCCAAGACACTGGCAGGGTTGGTTTGTTCTGAGGCCATCTTATCACTCTGTCTTCACATGGTCTTCCTTCTGTGCAACACGGTGTCCAAATTTCCTCTTCTTATATGGACATAGGTCATATTTAATTAGAGTCCACCGTAATGACCTCATTTTAACTTGTTTACCTCTTGAAAGACCCTCTCTCCAAAATTAATCACAGTAAGTGGTATTGGGAGTTAGGACTTCAATATATGTATTTTAGGGGGATACAATTCAGCCAATAACACCATATTCTGTAGAATAATTAAAGTCATTGAATTGATCATTATTCTTTATCTTTCATACCTATTATCTTTCTTCTGTCATCTTGTCTCTTCATATCACTGATCCAATTCTTCACTCTAATGCTTGAAACAAAGACTATATTTCCCCACTTTATTTTGGTTTTTCTTACATTTTGTTCATGTCTTAGTTATTTCTTTTTGTATCCTTCCCATTTCCATTTTTATCATTCTCTGTTAACGTTTCATAAAAGCTATATGCTTGCTGCACACAACCACAAAATTTCAGTAACATTCACAAGAAGCACATATTTTGATGGTGGGCAGTCAGCTAATCTTGGATCAGTTCCACATGTCTCTCATCCTCCTTGTTGGATCAATGCCATCATAGCAATGGCAGAAGCACGAGAGGGCATATGCTCACTGGCATAAACCCATTTCAGGTCCTTCCTGAAACGCGCTAATCGATTAGCAAAAGCAAGAACCCAAAAGTCAAAGGCAGGAAATACATTTTTCCCACTAAAGTGAAGGGGAAGGAGTGGTAATTTTGAAAAATAATCTAATCTACTACATCATTTTCCATCTTTTGAGAAACCTTGAGCTTCAATCTCCTAAAGTTTTCCTGGTCAATGTTATAAAATATTTTTTCAAATAAATTCAAATAATATTCTTTTCTAAGACCTCAAGGTAATGCTCATTTTCCCTTACACTACAGAATATTTTCACAGGACCCAGAGTATTTCTTCAATCCTTGCATGGGAAGAAATCTATTCAGACCTGCTAGTCACCACCAGACACGTGGAAGGAAGTTCTTAGCTGCCCCACCTACCACTACTCTCTGCTAAGGTCCTGACATCTGTGTATCTTGCAAAAGGTTTTCTAGTGCCATATGCAGAAAGGGACAAAAACTCCTCTTTCTCTGGCAGTGTCTCCAACTAAACTGAAGCAACACACACAAAGTCAGCAGGTTTTGCTGGAACAGGATAGGACTTGAAAGATTTCATTGCTGGCATGCACTGCATCCAGTGCTCCTCTTGTCTACAGCTAGTGAACAAGTGTGGATAGTGCTAAACCGCCCTCTGAAAAGGCCTGTGGCTATTTCAAACGCATCTCGGAAGGCCATGACATGCACAGCTCTCTGCTACCTGTTGACTGTGCCAATGTTCTGCTGCCTTAACTGACTTAAGTTCTGGTCTATTCCCTCCCAGGTCTACACTAACCTACTGAATGTCTTGAGTCTTCCCTAGGCCCTTCAATATAGGACTCTCCTGAATGCTTTCAGAAAGAGGAATACAACCCTAAGTAACAAAGAATCTTATAACTTCAGTGCATACAGCCATATTTCTTAATTAGGTTGACATCAGTATCCAATTTAAGGATTTTTTTTCTTTCTTCTGAGATAAACCAGAGTATCTCTGATGGCCCAGCATATTAAAGTCCCACCATAAATGTTTCTTATATATCTTTACATAAAAGGACCATAATATTTCTTATGGGTCTTTACGTAAGAGGACCATAAGAAATGTGCAATGAAGGAATGAACAAACTTTGAATGTCAGCCTTTCAGAATATGGTGCACTGAAAACAGTATATTAAAAAGAAAAGTAAAAAAAACTACAATATTCTGGGAAACAAATAATATTCCATATTGCCATAGTACACTGTACCAAAGAGCCTCTGTAACCCACCTTATTCTCCCTTTTTCCTTGATACGCTGCACAATTCGGCTGGTGGATTTGATGTACAGGTGCCGGTGCAGTTCATCTATGAGAACTAAGTGAAGATTCATCTTCTTGCTGTGAAGCTCCAGCCTAAGGTCACTCAGTCCTTCTACTTGGAGCAGGGGGCCCTCCAAAGACTGGACTGCTGACACCTAGGAAGGGGAGGGAAGACAATAATGTATAATAACTAAGTACTCTAGAAATATTCTAAATAGGAAGAACTATTTTTTAAAGATACTGTTAAAAGAGAATCTATGAAAACCTTATAAACGTACAGTAGACTTTGTAGAGTACAGTAGTCCCCCTTATCGGTGGTTTCACACTCAGCAATTTCAGTTACCTGTGGTCAACCAAGGTCCAAAAATATTAAATGGGAAAACATCCAGAAATAACTCTGAAGTTCTAAATTTTAGAACATGCCTTTCTGAGCAGTGTGATGAAATCACACAACATCCAGATCTACTCCGCCCAGAACATGAATCATCCCTTTGTCCAGTATATACTTACTACATACATATACTATGTCCCCATTAGTCACTGAGTAGCCATTTCAGTTATCAGGTCACTGTCATAGTATCACAGTGCTTGTGATAAGTAATCCTTATTTTGCATAATAATGCCCCAAAGTGCAAGAGTAGTCATGCTTGCAATGGAATATACCAAAGAAAGTCGTACAGTGCTTCCTTTAAGTAAAAAGTTCCCAACTTAATAAGAAAAAAAATTGCATGGTGAGATTGCTAAAATCTATGGTAAGAACCAATCTTCTTTCTGTGAAAGTGCCTAATTTATAAATTAACTTTTATAACAGGTATGATTCTAAAGGCAGAAACATAGTACATATAGGATTCAGGTACCCACTGGGGATTTCGGAACACATGCCCTGCGAATATGGGGTGACTACTGCACAATGTGGCTGGGCCTTGCTCTGCCTTTGAAGGATTTAGCATCTGAGACAGAATGCTGAAGAAAACAAGCTTGATAAAGATAAGTATGAAGGCATCTAACATCCGGCAAAGCCGTACATACAATTAATTCCCACATACACTGCCTATCAATGGACACAAGTAAAATGAACTCCCCAATTAAAGTGATTATATCACGCATATTCTCACAAGAATTCCACATACTAATAGTTTAAATCAACTTTCAAAGCTAGCCTTTTAAATCTAAACAGAAGCACATTATAAATGTTTTAATAATTCTTATGATGATCATGAACCAGAGCTTCAGTAGCCAGAGTCTACATGTGAGTTTACATAAAAGTCAGTCTCTCTTTCTCATATACACATACACAGGGAGGTCCATGCAATTTTACATGAATGTTACGTGAGGACAATAGCAGTCATCACTCCTTGACTTAACCCAGTTTGATAGAAGAACGAGGATTTGAACAGTGAACAGAAGATAAACTATGGAGAGGGAGATACTCCTGGTGTAAAGTGCAATTTGAGAGATTTTAAGACAAATTAGATTGGATGAATAAAAATGGTGTAGGAATGCCTACAACAAAGGGAGAAGATAGGGAGGGACTCAGGGAACCTGGAGCAACTCATTTGGAAACCAAAGTGTATATGTTTCAAAAGAAAAAAAATAGCATGTATGATCTGATCCCATTTATCCATGTATATGAAATTATATTTATGTCCTTCTGTATAAAGATCTTATATATTTTTAATGACAAAAACTTAAAGTGAAGAGAATATTGAGGAGAATATTCACCTTTGGAGAACAAAGGTGGAAGGAAAAAAGCACAAAGAATGCAAATGTAATAAAAACAACAACAAGAGAGAAGAGATGACCACAAGCTGAGCTCAGAGGGCAAATAGCACACCACGCTCCCTGAAGGGATTAGCATGTGATGACTATTACCTGCTTAGGTCATACTTCTAAATATTCCTAAGATGTACAAATAAAGGCAATAACTAATAATGCTTACTTCAGGGTAAAAACATTAAATGTGTTTATACAAATAAACATGCTCCTAAAAAATGAAGCATTTAGACAAAAGCAGTAAGTGGTGAAGGCCATGAAACATACCAGTGGTTAAGTGTTCATGAGAGATCTATCCCAATATACACAGTCATGGAGGAGCTGTGGACGGTGAGTATGGACAGCTTGGGAGCTGCCAAATGCAAAGTGGCCTGAGATGGGGAGGAAAATGCAAAGGCTCACCCACAAACATATCACTTGTTTTGTGATATGCTAGAATCAAATGTCAGCAGCAAATAGGTTTCCTTACATTTACCAAGAAAGAACGAGGAAATGAAAGAGTGACAAGCCCTGGGCCAGCTCTGCCCTCTGAAGCCCGCCTGTTCATTTTCATGCTGACTTGCAACTGCCCTGCTCTGAGAGCCCTGGACCTGTGCAAACTGCAGCAATTCCAAATGGAAAGGCAGCCTCACCAAATGACCAGCGTGTCCCCAGGGAGGAAAAACAACAACAAATTCATTCACACAGATGCTCTAAAATGGATTTTAACTTGAATCTCTAGCAGAGAAAAGAGGACGTGATACCCTTTAGTGACACTGAAATCCAGAAAATGAAAAATAATTTGGTAAACCACTGGTCCATCATGTAGCCTTATCCCTTAAGGTAATTAAATCCAACTGAGATATTTAAGCTTAAAAATCACCCACTGCACATACAAGCTTGATTTGTTTGTAGGAATTTGCATGAGGATTTTTAACGCAAATACATCAAATTCCAAATACAAAATTATATGAGGTCAACTTTCAAAGCCACTTAATTAAAATATTTTTAACATATAGGTAAAACAGCACAGTGCCTGGCACCTCTTTATTCTGTGGGCAAAGAAACCTCAGAGGGTGTTTTCAACATGCTTTGATGCAGCATTTTCAGTGAAGTGTTGTTTCCTTCATAGAACCATTGTAACCATATAGATTACAAAGTTTCTGAATATGTTTCATTGACCCAAAATACAGGAATATAAGTACAATAACACACACACACACACACACACACACACACACATACACTATCAAGAGCTATCTTAATTAAAAACCTTACCACAATGAGAATAGAGAATAGTCTCTTGTTTCTGTATGAAAATACAGTGTTTTATTTTCTATCCTTCACTTATTTAGAGTCTGTTTATAAAACTATAATCATGGGAGCTAGGCAAGGTCACTGTCTTCCCCCTACTCTACCCTTCCTAAGTGGTACTCAAACCAACTTGAAGAAAATAATTGTCAATGCAACATTTGATCCCTAGAACATCAGTTTACTAGTAGAAACCTGACATTTATCTTATCTTGCTTTAAGTAGCCTGTACCAGAAAGTTTACACATAAAGAAAAACTTGGTGAGGCAGCAGTCAAACCCACAACCATCACTGATGGTTAAGTCTATTGTCCTGTGGGTCTGGTTTCCAGGTAGTTATTGACAGTAAGGCTTCACTACAGGAGAAACCCCCCTATATTTAGAACTGAGCATAATTCCTAATAAAAATACAACTAAAGAGACATTTAATGTATGAGAAATGGTTATTTCATAAATTATTTCACCGTTGTCCAAATGTAATGACTACAGAACACTTCAAAATAATACACTGATGAAACATTAACAGGAATTCAAGAGATGCAGATGGATCAAAGCAGCAGCAAAATGGCCTCACAGGTTAGTGGCTATGAGAAGTTATCAAAATTGGGTTCACAGATGTGACTTTGTGACACTAAATAATGTCACAAATATATATTAAAATTGTAAGTGAAAGGTGAAGTAGACAACAAACAGTGGAATAGTTCATAGGTAAATGTTGCCTATACATCTACTCACAAGACAATTATTCATTCATTCATACCCCAAATGACCTCTTAAAATTCTAAGGTATGCCACACCATTTCGTACAGATTACTTACTACAAGTAGATAATGAGCCAACTAATTGTATCTAGAATTTCTCTTACATATATTTTAAAAAATTATTTGGGGGAAGGGATGAGATACTACTTAGAAGGGAACTTTTTTTTTTTCACAGAATACCAATTATTATCTAACAGAAAATTGGTATTCTACTCAACTTCTCATATAAATAACAGAAATCTGTTTTGGAGTTGAAAACAAGTATTTCCTTTAGGATTAGGAAAATAAACAAACATTTACAAAACATTTTAACACATGAGATTGAACAGGACAGCATGTTTTGTTATTAGAAACCTACCCATTAAGAAAACAGAAATTCTGCCGAAACCGGTTTGGTTCAGTGCATTGAGCGTCGGCTTGCGGACTGAAAGGTCCCAGGGTCGATTCCGGTCAAGGGCATGTACCTGGGTTGCGGGCACATCCCCAGTAGGAGATGTGCAGGAGGCAGCTGATCGATGTTCTTCTCTCATCGATGTTTCTAACTCTCTATCTCTCTCCCTTCCTCTCTGTAAAAAATCAATAAAATATATTTAAAAAAAAAAAGAAAGAAAACAGAAATTCTGAAAAATGTTTCCATAACTCAAAAAATAAGTGAAATGCAGTTAAAATATACATAATCGAGAACTTTCAAAAAATTTTACCTTGAGATGACAGATAAGTCTACAACAAAAGAAATCTTGGTAATTATGAACTATAGTACCTATAATTTTTCTTTCCCGGTGTGTTTCTCAATCTCATTTTAGTTTAAATGAGGAAATCATTATTTCACAGTTAAATTTGTCTTCTGCCCATCTTATTCAGGCCGATTAGGTGGAAAGATCTAGTTTTGTGCCTTAAACATAAACCAGTAGAAAAGTTTCAGAGAAACACCAAAACTGGCCATACTCAACAACTGCTTCCCTGAAGAAAATGCTAGACAAGAAGCTACTGGTCTTTTTTATTTATTGTTTTAGTTGGGAGAGGTGAGCTCCACAAAGGTAAATGATATTAGTAACTGTTTCTAAATAGAACTAAGGTTCCAGCCTAAAAAAAGAAAGGAAACTTTTTGTTTAAGTATAAACAAAAAACCAACCTGCTAACTAAACCATCTGCTAGCTAATGAAAATGCTTATTTTGGCAACAATATTCCCTAAGAAAGCAAATGTTTGCAACTGTTGAGTCCAAAACAAATATTTCCTTCAGGACTCTGATAATTAGTTTGTCTCTCTTAAGGAAGCTTTTTTTTTTTTTAATAGTAAGACAACATAAACATTCTGAAAATGTTGCCTTGGC